CCGCGTGGGGGGGGACGCTGTCCCTGCGCGGCCCCCGTGCCCTCAGAAGTAGGTGAGGTTCTTGACCAGTCCCAGCTCCAGCATCCGCTTGATGGCCACGGCCTCGTGCGAGACGTTGTGCTCCGACGCCTGCGGGACGTGGAGCAGGCGGTGACACCAGGGCCACCCCGCAGTGAAAAACAGGGGTGACGTGGACAGAAAGCGTGGGGGGTAGATACTCACCGCCATGGATTTGAGCGTGATCTGCTCATAGTAGTGAATGGTCTGCTTCTTGTTGGCCGAATCGGGGTAGCCGAAGCCCGCGATGTGCACCAGGTCACAGAAGTGCAGCGCCAAGGTGATGGCCAACAACCCCGTGGTGGGTTTCTGGGGGGACAAGGAGGAGAAGAAGCTGTGTGTGGAGCCATGGCCACCCGTGAGCTGCACAGGGGTACCAGGACGGATATCACCCCTCGGGGGGGGTGCAGGGTGCCCGGCCATCCCCACCCCTTACCTGTTTGACCTTCCGTGGTTGCTTCATGGGGAGGTTGAGCAGTTTAGCAGCAGTTACTTCCATGTAGTAAGGGTTGAGGATGCGCACTCGCTCGGGGTTGGCATCCCAGATCAACGGGGGCTGTTTCCAAAACCCCTTCCGCACCTACAAGAGGACAGAGATGTCTGGTGCTGTCCCTATAAGGGAGGTAGGTCCCTGGGGTGGGATGAGGGTTGGACGCGGTTCCCCACCACATTTACCCTCTTCTTGTCGTTGAGGATGGCCTCCATCCACTGGAAGTCCATGGGTTTGAAGGGCACCAGCACCAGCAACGTGTCAGGGTTGTTCTCCGTCCTGGGGTTGAAGTGGGCTGACTCGGGGTAGAATAGGCGCATGGTGGTCTTGGAGCCCACGTCCTGCTCGTAACCATGGACCGGGGCGTTGTTCAACCTTGGGGGGACGCAGGGACATCAGAGGCATCGACCTCATCCACAGGTGGCAGCGGGGAGGGATCGGCGGGACGGATCTGGGGCCCTACCTGATCACAACGTCGTACGTGTTGATGGTCTCCCCCATGGAGCTGTTGCGAAGCCGGTGGCCGTTGCCCACCACCGCGCACCTCCGGCACTTCAGGCTGCGAGAGAAAAGCCCCGTCTCAACCAGCGCTGCTCTGAAACCACGGTGGTTTTAACCCCCAAGGTGGGGTTTGACCCTGCGTTGTCCAGTCCACAAAGCTTCCCATGGCCCATCCACCATCCCTGGGTCGCAGAGGTTCATTTCACCAAATCCTGGGCCCACAACGTGCACATTTCCACCCCCAACGATGACGAGAAAGAGAGAAAAGCCCCCAAACCCACCCCGGCGTTACCTCTGGATGCTCTCAGGCAGGGAGTAGTGGGTGATGGACAGCAAACGCAGGAGGACGTCTTCTG